AAACCAATTTGAGGATTGTTATCAGATGCAATCCATTCACATGCTTTATGTTTAAAAAAATATATAGTATCTTGATTCGACTTTGAGAATAGGAAAAATTGTATTTGACATACAAATGTGTCTCCGTGCGCACGCACGGAGATGTGCTGTGTCTCCGTGCACGGAGACACAGGCCTCCGTGCACATTCTCGTGTCTTCGTGCACGGCACGGAGACACAGGTCATGTCACTTTATTCTCCGTGCACATTTTCGTGTCTTCGTGCCGTCTTTGTCACTTTAGGGGCATCCCAACTTTACCCAATCACTACATGACGCCCTTCACTAATTAAAACAATCAAAACCTTAGTCAACTACAATTTTGATAAACCAGAGAATGATAACTTAAAGTAGAGATAAAAAGCAAAAAAAATTGACAAGAAAAAAATTGAAATAATGTGAAAACTAAATACAAACTTGAATAAATAGATACCAGTGGAATATATATTAAAATTAATTACCATTGCAAGGACCAGTGGTAGGATCATTGAAGTAACTTCGGCCCATGGTAACTTTAACTGTCTCAGCAAGCTCTTCAACACCCTTGAGCATTTGAGCTCTGGCTTCCACTCCAAATCAATGTACACAGTTTCTGCTCCAATCCAAATACTACTAATCTGCATTAAACCCACCAAAACACTATATTAGCCCCCATCAACTACGGAATTTATTATGTGAAAACAATTAAAATAACAAACCCCCTTGGAATCATTAATTACCTGCTGTCATCAACTACGAAATTTATTATGTGTAAACATTAAATTTATCCATAGAAGGTCAAACATGCCCGTAAAATTCAATTCCAACAATCACCAATTAAATTAATTAAAAATCCAAAAATACGTAGTTAAATTGAGTTTAAAAATGACAATAGATCCATGGTAATAGAAACTAAATTCACAGCAAAAAATTGAAAACTATTGAAAAAATTGGCATTAAAATACCTTATTTCAATTACTATTTTGAGCAACTTTTTCTCAATCTCAGACGCAAGATAACGAAAACTTCGAATTCTGTAAAAACAAGGTTGGTTGACAAAATTAGAGGAAAGAAGAATAGAGAGAAATACGGAAACATAACAACTCATAACTTGAAAATATAATCCAAACCTGAAGTGTATTCCATTGGAGGTTGCGTAGGAAAATGGAGGAGGAATGATTGGTTGCGTGAGATAATGGAGAAGTAGACGGCGGTTCGAGAATTTTTGACGAATTTTAGGGGATTTTTTTTTTTTTTTTAAAATGGGGATTTTTGGCGACGATGAGAAATGGCGACACATGTGACCCTTACTTTGCCTCTTTTAATATATAGTGATAACTTAAAATATTTATTTTTTAATTTATTTATTCTAATTTTAATTAATTCAACTTTTGGTCTTTAATTTTTCTTTTTTAATTAATTTATTTTTTTCATTACCGTCACGTGTATAAATGTCGTACACCCCATGCTTTATTAATCTCCGCTTCTCCTGCCCAAGACCGACCGTTTCTTCTGCCCCCATTTCTTCTATCTTTTTCTCTTTCTTTAATTTTTTCTTTGTATATTTGAATCCTCTGCTTGGAGGAGTACTTCAACTACACAATTCTGTACAGTTTTTTTCAGGTAAATCGAGCTCCTTCTTCTCTCTGTGTGCATGTACGTCTGTTGTAGGTGAAAATTAGGTAGAAAAAATTGGTCAAAATGAGTTTTTGGCGTATTTTTATGCCTTTTGTGTTATAATTTTTGATATGTTTTAGCTTTTTTTTTTGTCTTGATTTTTGGCTTCGATTTGATTTTCCGAGGTATTATTGTTTTTTGTGTGTTTTTGAGAGGTCTGCTCTTTCCAATTTGATTTTGATTGAGCTAATTTTTCGACGTGAATTGATGTGATTATTTAGCTAGGAGATCTGTTGATAATTAACCGTTTTATGACGCGTTTAAGTTAATAGAAACAGTGATTTTCAATTGCATATTTCCCCAGCTTCAATTTTCTGGAATAATAAACATTTTCATAGATCTGTATAAAATCAGCTAATTTAGAACAATTCTACTCCTTTTGAGATGTCAAATTCTTTCTATATCTGCCGCTCAAAATTTCCAATTATTTTCTTAACTGGTATAATCGTAAGATTTTCTCTGATCTCTTCTGTTTTATTATCTAGTTCATTATCGACAAAATAATCGATTTTTGCAACAGATCTAAATGATATTTTCAAATATTATTAAATTAAAATATTTATGTTTTTATCTTCTGGAACAAGTCAAAAATCTCAACTTATGGGATTTTATCTGCCGCTCAATTTGACCAAGTCTTAACATTCAAAAATAGTTAATTTTTTGATGTATTCTTCTCGGATCTGTAATTTATCTGTCTTGAGGCAATTGCCTGAACATAATTTGAATTTTTCGTAATACACAGGTGTTTGTTTATAGAGATCTGAAGAGAAGAATATGAATCGGTGTGCTATTCAGCAGAAGTCTTTTGCTTCCTGTGAAGAGATGAGAGGTGGCGACTGCAGATCTGTGTCAATCTGTGTTGACAAGAAAGAGACGGTGATTTGCCCCAAGCCACGGCGAGTTGGCCTTATCCATGCCACCAAGCCCATCACCACCACCACGCATAACGACCCTCCAGTCAGATCTCTTAGATGGCATTTCAGGTAAATTTTTTAATTTTTACATCCCTTTTTACTTTTTGATCATTTGATTAATTTCTGTTTGTGTTTACACTTGAAATTTGACTTTTGTATTTTCTGTTAATAGCCATCAACAAGAGGTTTGTGATTCAAAAGCTGGAAATGAACTGCTAGACATCATCCTTTCAAAGGTTTGTTCTGCTTTATAAATTTTATTGATTATTTAATTCTGATTTTTGTGAGTTAGATGGATCACTCATCTTGTGTTAATCATACCAATTTTATGTTTTATGTGGACCCTATTTTTGTTACAAAATTGCCCAAGTGTATCAGAAATAGTCTTAAACCTTTGGTTCACTGAGTAAGTCCATCACAGAGTATTTGTGGGCCTTAAATAATGCTCATGTTTCAATTGTGTGGACAAATATTTTCTTGAAATTTTCTTTGGAAACAGGTTGTTTCGATTCATTTATTTTACTTTATTTGGTTATTTATTACGTAGAGCTGATATAATTTGGTTCTTGATTTGGACAGGGTGGTTATGGTGCTGAACAATCTGTTGCACTAATGGCCTCTTCCCCCCCTTTTTTTTCTGGGTCGCCGCCAAGCAGAGTATCTAACCCATTAATTCAAGATGCCCGTTTTGGGGATGAGAAATTCACCCCGGTTTCACCACGAGCTATCCCGTTCCCATCCGAGCTGGCTCCGTCCCCATCCTCCACCCGCAAAGGTGGATGCGTGTGGACAAATTTTGGCAACAATCCGGCCGTAAGGATTGAGGGTTTCGACTGCCTCGACAGGGACAGACGCAACTGCAGCATCCCTGCCCTGGCCTAGAGCAATCACAAAACTAGTACATACAAAAATTGAAGATTTTAGCAGAAGAGGAATTTAGAACAGTTTAATCAAGTGAGCAAGTAATAGAGATCATTGATAATTTTGTCTAGTGTAAATACATGTCAAAAAGTGTCTGTTAAGGCAAGGAGTCTGTAAGTAATCTGAGTTTGTTTGATTAACCAAAAATAATTCTACCATGTCATTAGTGGACCCTAATGGTGTAACTAAAGAGACGAAAGGGGTCTTTGGAGAACTTTAGTATTTATGTTTATTTTGGGGTAAATTTTGATATTTAAGTGAGGAAAATCTGTATAAAATTCTGCATTGGTGGTGTTGAGTCATCATGTGTAGTCAGTTCACTTTGTAAATACTAAAGTATTATGAGTTCCTATGGCTATAAATTTTTAAATGGTTGCTTGATTTTGATGATTTCTAACTTTTGCTTTTGTAACATTATCATGATATCGTGGCGGTGTAAATGATGATGCTTTGCTTGTTTGCAACGCCAAAAGCATGAAAATTGGATGGGGAGGTCCACCAAATGCGTGTTCGGTGAATGAGAATTGTACGTGTATGTGTTGGGTTCGATTCACTTTGGTTCACCATACGAGCCGATTTGCTTCAAGGAAACGAGCTCACTCCTTGATGGGGGCAAGTCTTTCATGACTCGTCAATTTTTTGTGCCTAAAATTGTACTTTCACTTCGAGAAATGTAAACTTATAAAGAAAATGTAATTATAAAAAATTAAAAAGTTGTAAAACCTTTCTTCCCTTATCGAGGCTTGAAATTAGCTACAATATGTAGGTAGAATTAAAACTTTACATGAATAAATATTGTGTACATATTTTAAAATATATAAATGAACAAAATACAATAGAGTAACGATAAAAAANAAATGAACAAAATACAATAGAGTAACGATAAAAAAAAAAAAAAATTTACGATTCCAACTTAGCAATCTAAAATTGCATAATTGAAAAGGTGTCGAAAGGTTACCTTCATCTTGTTGAAGCCTTTGTCGGATACAAACATGTGCTTCTATTCAAATTGTGATATTATCTAAGACCACATGATGCATCTCAATCAAATATATGGTCTTCCATTATAGACCTTATGTCTATATGTATTGATACCTTCATCTTCTTGAAGCCTTTTTCAAGGCCAATTGTCAAGTTTCCTTTCGAAATTTTTGGTGTCAGGGATCCTATACCGTTCCCTAAAGGTCTCCAACTCACTCTCCTTTACTGTCGCCGTCACTACTGCCAGCCTATCTGGTCAAGTCCAAAGCTGTAAGCTAAGCATTGTGGATGCTAAAGCAGTATTAGCATTTAAGGCTTCATGTCTAAGACAAGAGGCATCAACCGTATGGATGAAGCCACGTGTCTCTTTATTCAACGACTTTCATTCACCATTTTTTAATATAAAAGCTCACACTTAATGCCATTTGGAGGGTAATGCAAGTTTAGACTTTTAAGCTATAATTTTTTCTTATCACTATTTTATCTATTACTCCCTAAAGTCGACCCCATTTTTATATTGGAGATTCGCGTTTAAAGCTCTTCCATACTCATATATTTACTTCTCCAACTGACTTGATCATTGGAGTGCGCGTAGCTCACTCCACCCCCATCGGAGGAGGTCACATGTTTGTCCAAATGTGCAAGAACGAGGCTTGCGTGGACAAGAGGTCTTGAGATCTATTGGCCACATTGAATGCACATATTTTTGGGTCAACACATATCATGGAAGCAACTTCACCTATGCAAAATGTGAATAGATATACAGAAGGTCATCCTTTTCTAACACAATACAATAAACATCATATTTACAAAAGTATTAGATCTCATCTGCATTGCTAGATTTTCTTAAAATAATGGTATGAAAAAATATAAGCAAAAGTATCAATATTTTCTACTTCTGAATTGGGAGCCTTCATTTTTAATTTACTGCATCTAAGACATACGCAAACATTTAGGTTTTATTAACTTGCATGCTAATGAACTCTTTCCCTCAGGTTTTGTGACTCGAGTAACTAGAGCTCCATGCTAGGGCACAAAAGAACATCTCTCCATCGGACTGCTCTATCCCTTTGGTATCCCATTGGCTTACCCCGCGGGTATTTGTATCGGTATCTCGATCTGATAGACTTGCTTGCGCATCTTGTCTTTTGTTNTGCCAACTCTATTGCTCTTATAGCAGTCTGAATTCCTCTTCATCTTATTTTTTGCTTTTGGTTTGTGGATTCTATTTCCCCTGTGCTTACACTTCTCTTGCCTTGAGATCGTGACTTTTTCTTTCTTGACTTGCTCCGTGCTCAAAAAAGTCAATCTTATTTCGCAACTCGGGTCTATATGTTTGGCAGTCATGGTCACATCATGAATTTTGCTACCTGTTGTGCTCATGTCATTGCATGATTCCAGACGTCCAACAACTCCATACCACCAACCTGTGATGTTTTTAGAAGAAATCAATGTTTCAGTTAGGACGTATTATTGGCAAATACTTCAAAGAAATTTCTCATTGAACTAAAAAGGATTTTTAGGTTGACAATTGACTTAAATTTTTGGTTCAAAAGTCTTTATTTCCTTTCAAGGAAAATAAGTTTTATGATGCAAAAATATACCATATAGAAACTCTTTCTTTTCTCTCCACTGAATCTCATTGTGATCATCTGGTTTAAGATCATCCAAATAATCATAAGAACGAAGAACATTTGCAGGAGTATGAACTGTTGGTGGCCTTAACCTATTCCATTCTATATTTTTCTCTATCGTCTGCCTCCCTTGCCTCGAATAACTACAAAATATATTGAAACCTCATAAGATTGAGACATTTCTTAATCATATTATCATCAAGAATTGAGGAGAAAATCAATGTTTAGAACACAAAGAAAACTGCAAAAGAAGACCTCGCCACAAAGTTGTCAGCTTTGCTTCGGAATCATAGCAAACAATCATACACACATCAAAAAAACTACCTCGCGATATACACCTGAGCCGAGAACTAAAATTTTCCTGTTTCAAGAGCCATATAGCAAGACATAATTGAATTTTTTCGTTTAGAACTTCTCGACTTTCTATTTCCCACCTCCACCTTTGATCTATTCAAAAAAATATTATCAGTAAAACATGAAAAACTCTTAAATGGACTTTTGTACATTGCAGGATCACCAATTATTTTTAAATCAATCTGGCGTTGCCATTATGTAAAGGAAGCATCATCAACTAGTCTTTCCTATTTTTGATTTATATGCTTCTTCCATAAATGATCATTTTACATTTCCCTCTCAAATTATTACACACTCTTGCCATACTACACAGCCTGGTAGGCAAAAAACTTTTTAGAATGCATATTGCTATTCATTACGTAAACAAATCAAATTGCTACCTCCTCAAATGACAAATTAAAAATGAAGTCATTGCTTTATATGAAGAAAAACATCACATATAGACATAGAAGCAAAGCGAACCTTGATGTCTAAGAAAAAGGGTTCTAAAGTTCAAAACATTGGTTCCTTGAATGGTTGTTCGCAATAGCTATTGTTCGGGTTGAGGCTATTCGTGGTGGTAGTTGTTCTTTTGCGGTGGTAACGAGCGAAATGGGAGAATAATTACACACTGCCCGATTAGATGAAGAAGATACGGAAGAATAGAAGGAGACGGCAAAGGATTTTGGAGTGGTGCATTCCAAATGGAAAGAGACGGTAGTAGCATTGTATAGAGAAGAGAGTGATTGGAAGGGTTGCAAACGATTTGGGAAAGGGGGGAGCGGAAATTTTCTGTGATGTTGAAGGAGGGTAATTTAGGTAATTTACTGATTTGGATTTAATATGTGATGTTGAATGAGGGTAGTTTAGGTAATTTACTGATTTGGATTTAATATATTTATTTTTAAATTTTTATTTCTGGTCAAAGGCTAAAAATGCAAAGCGTATTATGAAAGAGGCTGTTTGACCAATTTCCACGTCAAAGAATCTCCAATGTCTTGAAAGTTTTGCCATTACACCATGCTCATCTCTATCTTAATATTCTAATCTATGTATTACCTCATATATTGTGTGAAGAATCGACATCTCCAATGCTACGTTTTCGTAAATCCCTGATTTCTATCCCATTTTCTGAAATCTCAAAACTTGTGTTGAAATATTAGAGTTCAATATGAAAATATACACTTCAGACTTGTAAACACTAAATTGGAAGTTGTGGCGTATAATACAATATTATTCTTCATCTAGTTCTTAACCCGGGAAATTTTGTTTATAGTAATACATTCATAACTTGTTATTGTTAATAAACCATAGTTTTCTTCTTCTTCTGGTACCAAAATCTAGTACATGGTAGAAAGCTTCAATCCAATCAGTTTGAGATGAAACTTGGCTACCAACTCTACGAATACGGATGCCAAAAGTTACCCAAAGGCTATGATATGGACTATGATCTCGTTTCAAGAAGCGTGAGGAGTGAAATGAAGTCCACGGATGTAGAAAAGGCATAAATGTTAAGATAGTTGAAGTCTCCTTACTTTAATTGTGTGAAGTATCAATCCGCAGTCATCTCACTGTCCTACAACATTGACAATCTTTTCTGGCTTTTGAATTCCGTTTTGCGAATGATTATTTTGTACTATTTGGACCCCTTTTTTTTTTGTAATGTTGTGGATGGATGTTAAATTTCTATTTTTGTTTTTTTTGTTTGATATTTTTGTTATTGTCTAGCTTTTGGATAATGTATCACTTTTGTTATTTAGTTCCTGTTTAAAGCATTCACATATACAATGTTCAATTTACTGTCATTGTTTTGAGTACGATACATATGTGGTTCATGCATTTTAGGCCAATGTGTAAGCATCACTCGTCGTAGTTTTTTGAAGTTCGCAAAATTATCATCTGTATATCGTATAATAACATGCATTCTCATTTTACCTTCATTATTTTATTGTCATTTATGTTTACAACATGATGCTCTCCTTATGTAATAGTAGTAGATAACAAAAAAGGTAT